TTTCTGGATTCTCATTTGGCTTTCCAGATTCTGGATTCTCATTTGGCTTTTCATCTGCTGGATTCTCATTCGGCTTTCCATCTGCTGGATTATCCTCTGGTTTCTCAAATGTCGATATATTATTTGATTCATCTTTTACGTCAAAATTGGCGCCAATTCCTTCAGCAGTAACAAAAGCCTGATCATCAATGCTTTCTAATTCCTTCACCTGTTCACTTTCCTCAGTAGCTTGAATTGGTATTTCACTCGTTTCGTTTGTAGTAGCCGTTACAAAAAGTATGTTAAAAAGTAATACTGGAACGATTATTAAACGTGAAGTCATGAGGGGTAAAAAAACCGATTTATTGTATATTTGTTTTTTAAATTATTGTAAACAAAAATGTAAATTAAAAAAACCAATTTTGTATTTTTTTAGATATAAAGATATTTTATGCGGTTTTCAATTAAAAATTTTTAATAAATAACTTATTAATTTATTTTTTGTTTGTTATTAATTTTGTCTTTTGATAAATAAAACATATTACCAAACTAAACTTTTTTAATGTTTTGAACTATTTTTTGATAAAAAATAATATTTTATGTTGATTTTAATTAACATTTTTTCGAATTATTTTTCTATAAATTTTTATTTCTTCGGTTTTTCATCTTATAAAAACCATCTCTAAAGGTAACATGTATTATGAATATATAATTTGAAATGTTAAAATATTTATTATGTGTAAAATCTACGCACAACAGTAATATAATATATTAAATTTGCACCAACGTATTTATTATTTAAAATTTAAAAATATAGGAAGTTTTATAAAAAATTATAATCTTACTTTTCAAAAAATTGTAATTAAAACAAGAGGGAAAATTTTTAAAATGTAAACAAACAAATGTAAACTATTGGTTATGAAAAGTGCATAAATACACAGATTACAATATACTGAAATTTAAATAATTTTACTTAGATTATGTTGCTGTAACTTTGCAGTTCTTACGCACCATAACAATTCAAAAGAATTTAATTTTTTATTTTTTTGATCATTATTTATTCTAGTAAAAGAAAAATAAATACTTTTTAAACACTTATTAAATGTCAGTTGTGATGTAATATTTGGCAAAGGAAAAATGCTTTGTCAGCTAATTAAAACTCTATTAAAAAATAAATTTCTTTTTAATTCCCAAAATAGTAATTGTCACGCGCTTAGAGAACAACTATGTTTAAAATTCTATTTTTTTCTCTACTTTAAATTAAATAATCTAATAATTAAATTTATTTAGGTATAGTTTTATGTCATGTTAATCTTTCTTAGTGTGCGGCATCGGATCGCTTCTCGAATAGCCTTTACTCGCATGGCAGTTCAACCTTCACTTCTTCGAAGTTTTCTACAGAAGTTAAACATCTCCTGCGACTTTTTATGATCAAGCTTTCTAGTGTCATCTTGAGTACTTTTGGCTGTACATAAGCCTGGATTCGGTCGTCTACTCCGATTTGGGTTCTCTACTGCTTATGGAACTTTGTTACTACATTGTCCATGTCATAACGTATGGGATAACTTCTGTCTTGTATTTATATAAAGATCCTGTATGGTTGGCTAACAGGTCGTACTTATGATTATTCTCTACCTCTATTGTTCTTAACTTATCGAAGGAAGTTATTCCCACTTTAATTATGAAAATTTCTTTCTTGTTTTTATTTAGTATAAATATATCTGGTTTATTATACTTTATTTTAATTTCATTTTGGATTCTAGAATCCACCCTGGTGGATCCTAGGTCGGAAAGTGCTTGTTCCGAATATAAATACTGAACAGACTAAACTGTATAAAAGGTTAAGAATTGTTAAAAGGCATATTTATTTTATATAAATTTCTTTTTATAGTTTTAGCTTCTTATCACACCCAATAGCTTCCAAGATATATAACGAGTAGCAGAACCAAATATTTGCTTAGATATTGCCAATAGATAATCCTCTTATAACACTTTAATTGCTATTGGTAGTTGTGTGCACAACATAAGTATAATTTCGGTATATAAATTAAAATATGATTAATTTAAATCATAGTTAATTAAAAGAAAAATTAATTTAAGAGAAAAAAATTCTTATTGGAAAAGTGTGTTTTTAAAAAAATTATAATATCTCAAATTTTTTATTTTTAAAATTTTAATTAAAAAGAATTGAGATGCATCTTTAAATTTAAATTAAAAAATTTAATCAAAAATTAAAGTTTGTAATTAAAAAATTGAATAAAATATATTTATTTTTAATTAAAAAGATACAAGTATTATAACTATTCAAAATGTACAGAGTGATGTGCATGCAAAATCTATATTAGATTTTTAATGAACAATACAGGGATTAAGAACGTAAACAAGTAAGAAAAAGGAAAATAATCAACATAATTATTTTTCTTTCACTAAATTTATTAATACAATTTCTTCAGTACCATTATTTCAACTTTAATACAATTATTTAATAAAATTTCGGTTACTTTTCTGGGCATAGAATAAAATGTGTCTATTTTTAACTTCTTTGTTTTACTATTTGTATCAAAATCTTTTTTTATCAGAATAATGTCACCTATATTTATGTCATTAGTAGAATCATAAATGCATTTTCTGTCCATGCGTGCCAAATATTTTTGATTCACAGAAGTTGTATAAATAGCCTTATTATCATCCTCTTCAAGTTTGTTAGCTTAAATTTCAAATGAACCCTATCCGAATCAACAATAACATTATCTATAGGACATGTTACAGTGTTGAACCCACCTCTACCAAAAAATAGAGTGAATGGTGACTTATTAGTTGAAGAATGTATAGCTAAATTGTACTCATAAATCATTTTGTCCAAAGGCACAGTTCAACTTTTACCGGCAACAAACACACCATCACACAGATGCTTTTGCAAATAATGTGTGAGCGTTTGGTTTAATCGTTCAATTTGACCTTGGCTTTGTGAATGTCTCGGCCTTCCATGTATCAGAAAATGTTTTTTTCCTTACAAAAATCAATCAAACAAGAACTTCTAAATTCTTTTCCATTATCACATTAAATTATTTGGCTATCACCGAGTTTATAAAAACCAATTTTAAGATATGAAAGAACCTCAGTTATAGTCTTACTTTTAAACACATAAGTAATTTTATACTTAAAATACATTTATACCTGTAAGTATCCAACAAAAACCATCATTTTGTTCTGCGTAAGTCTTCATATCAACAAGATCAATGATTAATCTTTCAAAAGGCTTCTTAGCTGAATATACTTAAAATCACCCTTTGCCCTAAGGGGTTGAGCTTGTAAGAAGATATTACACCCGTTGAAAACCTCTTTAACAACACATCTAGGAATTGAAAAGTAAAGTTGTTTGCATAACTCGTAAAGACGACTCTAGCCATAATATTTTGATTGTGCAATTTTTGTATTTTTATTTTCATAAAAAGCATTGTTCCTTCCACAAACACCCGTTTTTATGACCATTTTCTGTATCTTTCAGATAAAGTAAATTATCTACCAAGATGAATAGGTCGGCCTTCTTTTAAAAACAATACCTAATATGTTTGCTGCCATCTACTGTCGTATCCTCGCCTTAAGAATATTTACGATGTTATCGTATTCTTCTTGAGATTTGATAGTAGGCCTCATAAGGGTCATTTAAAATATTTTAAAAAATTAAAAATTTTCATGTGTATGAACTTTTAGATCATGAGCAAATTGGTAATAATTACAGTCAAGCTGTTATTTTAAAATTAACTTTAGCATTGTTAATTGCATGTTCAAAAACCATGATGACCTATACAAAGGTGTATGTATAAACAAGCCTTTATTTAAATTTCTGAAGGGAAATATGTCTTGCGTTCGTAAAATCTTGGCGGGTAGTAATTCTGTAGAATATATATGTACGTATCTATCTGTGTTAATTAATTTATTGTATGGTGTGTAAAACATTAAAATCGTAATAATAAAAAAAAATGACTTTCCTTCTATATTATATATCGTTTACTACCAACTATAATGGTTACTCAAATATAAATGATATAGGGCGTAATACAAAATTTTAATCAACACAAAGATGAAAGTTTGTTGAGTTTAAAAAAATAAAGAAAAACATGGTCGCGCTCTAGGCGCGCGACATTATGTATTTTTTGTGTGACAGTTTTGCTATTGTATGATCTACTACGTTAAATTTGTAAATTAAACAATTAATGAAAATGATAGATATTGAAAAAATATAAAATAAACATATTTTATTTTTTAACAATTCAAACCCATCCCTGCCCAGTCTGCAAGTGTTCTTTTGCGTGCTGCTACCAATTTTAAAAGGATGGGCCTTGGGATAGCTGGTACATTGGGGTCAATTGGATCAACTTGAAAATCGGGGTCGATTGGAAAATTTGGATCAATTGGAAAATTAGGGTCGATTGGAAAATTAGGATCAATTGGGTTTACAGGGTTGCTGGGATTGGTTGGATTTAACGGGTTGTTAGGATTGGCTGGATTTAATGGATTGTTGGGATTAGCTGGATTCAACGGGTTGTTAGGATTGGCTGGATTTAGTGGATTACTTGGATTAGCTGGATTTGAAGGGTCTGTAGGCCCAAATATCTTATAAAGATGACTTAAATGGCCGGAATTAACAGTTGTATTAATTACACTGAGTATGAAAAAAAAAGTTGAAAATGTTTTCATGGGGTTAAAAATCAATTTTCAATAAATAGGGTTATAAATTAAAAAATTACAAAAAAAATTAATAAATTTACCTTGTTTTTAAAACAATATATATTAGATTACAAAAAATTATTTTTTCGTAATTGTTTGTTTTGATTACTTTTACAATTAAATTTTATACAAAAAAGAGCGTGATTTACCAATTTATTTTTGAATTGAAAGACCAAAAAAATTATTATGTTTGGATCCGCCATTTTATTAAAGTTTGCATCATACCAAATTGTAATATTTTAAACTATATAATTTAAAATCTTTCGCATTTTTTATGTCAAATGTTGTAAAATGCGTGTTATATTATACAATGACGTTAAAAGTTGGATCAACAAAAAAACTTAAACAATTAAAAAATTTAAGGATTTCTTTTTATTTAAACTAAAATTTCTACTAAAAAAGAAAATATATATCTTAAAATGTATTTATTTGTATTTAATACGAAATTTAATTATTTTTTGTTTTGGCATTTAAATATAATTAAAATTTTTAAAAAAAGATTTTTAAATTCATAAAATGCATAAATATTGATTATATTTCCCGCAATAAAACAAGAATTACTTTTTTTAATTTTATTCGATTACATTATTACACTTACAATATTAATATTTTATAGATTTACTTTTTTATTTTTGTATTTCAGTTAAGCTGTTTCAATTATTTGTTTTATTAAATTAAAACTTTAAAATTAAAATATTTTATTATCAATAGTTCCTATAATAATGCACTTAAAAAACTTATAATGACTATTTATAACCTTAAGATGTATTTTATGTTATTAAAAAGCCTCATTTTAATTAATAGTGCGAATTTAAAATATTGTGTTTTTAATAGCTTACCATATACATTAAAAAATATCTTTTAGCTTGCAAATTTTTAAATTAATCTTAAAATTTATATAAAAATTTTTAAGTAAAGCAGAAATGTATATTTATTAAGAGAAATTAATTGTCATATTTTGCAACTAATCTTAATATTTGTAACATAATTTCGGTGGAGAAAAAACCTACGATCTTTATATAGCATTTGAAAAAATGAGAAATCAAAAAATTATATAAAGCTAGCAGATTCTTTAAATACATTTAAAAACTCAATTCCAAAAGCTTGTCAAAAAAACAAAAGAAATTATGACAACCAAATTTTTTAATAATAACACTAATAATTACTATGTGCAAAAGATTATTTCGCTGTGTTAAACAAAATAAACTAACATCAAATGGTTTTTGTTTGATTATAGTTTAAATTTTGCACGGAAAATTAAAAGTTTCTAAAAGTAAAACGTTTAAATATATTTAAATAGTAGATTTGATAATCTTTTACCTATAAAACATTTATATAACATTATAAAGAAAACATTTAAAGTTTTTAGAAAATAAAAATTTAATATTTTATAGTTTTTTAAAAAAGTACTGTTCTTATCGTTTTTTACAAAAAATAATTTATAGTTTACACAACAAATTTTTAAAAATCAGTCATTTAATTTTTTTAAATCGAAAAGTACAAAAATAATAGATCAAATAAAATTTTGTAGTTAAAATATTTTCAAGGTTAAACGTTTTTTAAATTTAAAAATGTTGAAAATATTCTATTTATAGTAAAAAATTTTGTTTAGATATTAGTATGCATAAGCGTCCTTTACAAACAACAACACTATAGATAATTATTTACAGTGGTGGCAAAGAAAAGGAACATTAAAATAGTATAATAATTATACCTTTTTTAGCCACAACTTTCAATTCTTTTACTTAATAAAAAATTATTGAATACTTTGAGAACAATTAACATTATCTTTTGTAACTTTTTTGGTATTGAAAGGAAAATCCTTATTCTAGGTAGACAAAATCATAATATTTTTTTTGGAGGAAAACTTGGCTGTAAAAAATCAGTTAAGACTATAAAAAGCTTAATTTTTATCTCTTATGCCATAAAAATTATCTTTAAGCCAAAAATCCAAAACTCAGGCATACTTTAAAATGGTCACAAAACAAAAAGAAATTGAAAAAATCACGATAAGCCAGTGAGCAGTGTGTCTAAACTTAAAAAAAGGGTGACTAAACAGGAGAAATTGAAAAAAAGCTGGGTTTAAAAGAACTTTATTACTTACTGATATTGATAATTCTATTTGAAAAAAAATACATGATGATCCATAAATTAGCAGTCTTTCTGTGGATTTAAAAAAACGATAAAAAATATATCTCTTCGATGTATAAGAGATAAATTGTTTAAAATAGAATTTCATGGTAGGATTGCATGTATAAAACCATTTTTGTTTAAAAGCCACATTTTAAAAAAAAACGTTAGGTAAGCAAACATGCTTGTTACTCTGATAAAAGATGAAACAGAATTTTTTTAAGCGATAAAACAAAAATAAACTTATTTGACGCTAGCTAATGAAAGAGTTTATATGTGAAAAAAACTTGGCCAAAGATATAATAAAAAACACAAAACCCGCAATTATTTATGGGGGTGGTAGTATCATTGTTTGGGCATCTTTTTCAAGTGCAGGTGTCGAAAGATATGTATAGATGATTGTTTAATGAATAACGAAGCATACTGTAAAATTTTAGACAATAATCTGAAGACTTCCGCAAAAAAAGCTAAAATTTACAAATTATATTTTACAGCAAGATAATGATCCGAAACATACGAGTAAATTTACTAGAGATAATTTGGCAGATGAAAAAAAACATAAACTTTAGATTGGTTTTCACAATCTTCAGACATGAATTCCATAGAAAATTTATGGAATATTCTTAAGGTAAAAGTAGAAAAAAGAAAACCAAAAAATATAAATAAATTTAAGAAATGTGTTGAAGATGAGTGGAATAAAACAAATGTTGAAGTGTATAAATAAAAAGCTGGTACAGAACGTGAACAGTAGATGCAATGAATTATTAAAAACTAAAGGTGGACAACTAAATTTTAAACAAAAATATTTCTTTTTTTGCCTCCCTTTTTTTCATTTAATTAGTAAAAGTATTGTATTTGCGTGATAAATAAAATTAACTACTTAAGCAATTATAAATTTTTGCAAGCCTTCTTAAAATAACAACAATTTGTCATATTATAAAATTTGTTATTGCAAAATTTAATTTTCCGCTTTTTGTTATTACTGTATATTGTTATGGGTTTAAATTTTTGCTTGTTAATTGCGTATATTAAAAGCCAAGGAAATATTTTTTTATCAATATACACCTTATAAAGCTTTGATAGAGAGTACGAGAAGTCAATAACATTTACGAATGATTTTTTACAAAAAATAGTTAAAAGTTTAGAATTTAAAATACAAACATTTTATTTTTACAATAAAGTAATAGGTCTTGCCCAATCATTTAGTGTTCTTCTTCGGGCTGCCTTAAGTTTCAAAATAACTGGTACAGGTATAACTGGTACAGGTATAATGGGATTGTTAGGATCAACGGGATTGTTTGGATCAACCGGGTTAATTGGATTATTAGGATCTACTGGGTTAACTGGATTATTGGGATCTACTGCATTAACTGGATTGTTTGGATCTACTGGATTATTAGGATCTACTGGGATAACTGGATTATTGGGATCTACTGGGATAACTGGATTATTAGGATCTACTGGGATAACTGGATTATTAGGATCAACCGGGTTAACTGGATTATTAGGATCAACCGGGTTAATTGGATTGTTAGGATCTACTGGGTTAATTGGATTGTTAGGATCTACTGGGTTAACTGGATTATTGGGATCTACAGGATTATTGGGATCAACCGGGTTAACTGGATTATTAGGATCAACCGGGTTAACTGGATTATTGGGATCAACCGGGTTAACTGGATTATTGGGATCAACCGGGTTAACTGGATTATTAGGATCTACAGGATTATTGGGATCTACTGGGACAACTGGATTGTTTGGATCAACCGGGTTAACTGGATTATTGGGATCTACTGGGATAACAGGATTGTTTGGATCAACCGGGTTAACTGGATTATTGGGATCTACTGGGATAACAGGATTGTTTGGATCAACCGGGTTAATTGGATCAACCGGGTTAATTGGATTATTGGGATTTACTGGGTTTAATGGATTATCCGGGTTAACTGGATTCAATGGATTATTAGGATTTAATGGATTATCCGGGTTAGCTGGATTCAATGGATTATCTGGATTTACTGGGTTTACCGGATTGTTGGGATTTAATGGATTATCCGGGTTAACTGGATTCAATGGATTATTCGGATTTACTGGATTTACTGGGTTTGCTGGGTTCAATGGATTTACCGGGTTGGCTGGATTCAATGGATTGTCTGGGTTAAGTGGATTTACTGGATTGTTAGGATTCAATGGATTTACCGGATTAGCTGGATTTAGTGGATTGCTTGGATTCAAAACATTTATTATATTACTAGGATTTAATGGATTGTCTGGATTTAAAGGATTCAATGGATTCTCGGGATTAAGCGGATTTACTGGATTAGTTGGGTTTAGTGGATTACTCGTATTAGTTGGGTTTAAAGGATTGCTTGGGTTCAAAATGTTTAATGGATTACTAATATTTAATAGACTGTCTGTCGTTTTTTTAATGCCTTCTTTTACCGGACGATTAGCTCCTGTTGCTTTTATTTTATTTAAAAACAATAATATACAAAGAAAGGTTGTTTTCATGGGGTAGATAATCTTTTTTCTTATATAGTTATTTAAATTAAAAAAACAAATATTAATTTTAGAAGTAATTTTAAAAAAAAAATTTATAAAAAAAGGATAAACTTGTAAATTTATATACACAATTGTTTGTTTAAATTGATTGTTATATATGACGCAGTTAAATATAATTAAGGTAAAATCATTTTAAACAAATGCGTCATAATTAATATTGACATTTTACTTAAAAAATCTTCATAATATTCGATTATAAAACCATTTGATCTTATATTTATTAAAAATATTGTTTTCAATTTATTTGTCATTGAATTCGTAATAAAATATACATAAAATGTTAATGACAACAAACACAAAAATAATTACTAAAAGAAAACTAAATCCTCATAATGTAGTGTTTATAAATTGTAACATATCCGTATGATAACATATAGCTTTTGTTGTAAAGTTTTCCTTTAAGATTTTCCAAAAGATAAAGGAGTAACTTTTATTTAAAGTAAAATAATATACAAAATAAAATCTGAAATCTATGCAATAAATGAAATATTTAATGGCCTTTGCGTAAATAAATTATAAATTTATTTAAAGATTAAAGATTTATTTTTTAACAGAATTAATAAAAAGATTTAAATAAAATCTTTTTAATATTTTAATTGTTCTTTTTTTTAATTATCATTACAACGCTGTGCCAATAAAATAATGACAGGAAATAAATTTAATTTTTTAGTTAGTTATGCAAAGTATAAAAGGTATAAATTAAAAACATATAAAAATTTTATGAAAGGATTTATTTAAAATGTTTATGTGTTTCCTAAAATTCTACTTGTCAACTATAAAAAATATCTGTTTCTGTATTGTTTATTTTTTTAAAATTTTAATCAAAAATAATAAAAATTTCTAAAACAATATAATTAAAATTTTAAATAAATAATATTCATATATAACAACAAAAGTTATTATAAAGAAATTTATTAGAATTATTCTATTTAAACAACAGTTTTCTTTTATTACACATTGTATTATAGTTTTGAATAATGAAAATTTGTGCACTGATACTAAGTCTATTCAAAACGAAAAGAAAGCCTTTAAAGGCACCAAGTAAAAATGTTACAATACAACGCCCACCTAAACAAAAAAACATTATAAATTATTTATTTTTTATAAAACCTTAATGATCTTATCTTCAACCACTTTATAAAATATACTTTCACCCGCTGTTCTACTTTTTCTTGTGATTTCCACTACCTGTCCACTCTCTGCCCCTAAAAACCTGCACACAGGGTCTCTCTTCAATATTTTCGGCATTTGATCGACAGTTATTTTCAATTTTTCTAAAATACTGTTTTTCTCTGTATCATTTAGTATTCTATGTCTAGGCACTGATACATGTTTAGTTATATTAAACATTAATTCTTCATCTTTAAATATTTCTATTTTTAGATCTGATACATTTACAATATTTTGACTAGCACTACTCATTTTTTGATTAATAATTAATATCAGATGATAAATATTGATAGATTTATATGTTTCTATTACTTTTTCGATAGAACTTTTCCCTATTTTTTCGTCATCAATAAAATGAATGCCTACTAAATTATCTGCATTTTTACATACAAAATTTATTGAGTTGACATCTTTATCACAGCTTGGGAATTGTGCTATAAAATTATCGTATGACAATACTTTTTGATCTGTAGTGTATCCACGTTCTGTACACATTTCTACAAGAGTGTTTCTACATAAAAAAAATTTTCTTTTTTTTTCTAACATTTCAAGGGTTAGATAAATTTTGTCAAAATATGTGGGGAATAAATAATTCAATATGTTGTGGATTATTTTCTGTTATATATTGTGGTAGATAAATTATAAAAAAATGTTATAAGTTATTTTTTGTTATATAATTTGTTAGGAAATTTTATATAAAAATATGCTATAGGTTATTTTTTATGAAAATATTTTATTAACTTTAGTTTATAAGATATATTTTGGTAGATGAATTTTATAAAAATATTTTATAAACTTTTATTTTAAAGTCATATTAATTTATTATTCTAAATCATTTTTTATTATTAAAGTAAAATACATTACATTTTATACTTTGAATATATCATTTATTTTATATACTTCATTTCTTTTATATATTATCTCTGTAAAAAGTAAATTATTTATACCTTTTTTAACATCACCCTTTACGTTTACTTCAATGTCTTTTAATGTACATCCATCTGTTTTTGCAATAAATTGAAATATTTCTGTATAAATATTATTTTTACATCCATAAGCACTAGGCATAAGAAGAGATGTATAAATAGATCTATATACATCACTATAGAACGATATTTGTATATTCCTCTCTAAATCTTGTACATTAAAAGATTTACTTACATAATTTCTATATTTTTTTATATTTAAAATATTTTTACTTTGTTCACATTTTATTTCTAGAAATTTAAACCTACTAGTACTTTTTAGTATTAGTTCTATATTAATATTTTTAATATATAGATCTTTATCTTTTAAGTAGAAATATTCAATAATATCAAGATCCAAAGAAGTTAATAAATATTTTGTATTTGGTTCTATTTTAGTAGATTGTTTTATATGTATTTTATCAAGTATATTATCAGTTATAATAAGTGCCATTACAAAAATAAGGGGTATTACTTATGTTCTATATCTTCTTATTATCTTCTTTTATGTTTTATATCTTCTTATTATCTTCTTTTATGTTTTATATCTTCTTATTATCTTCTTTTATGTTTTATAGCTTCTTATTATCTTCTTTTTTGTTCTATACCTTCTTTAATGTTCAATACCTTCTTTTATGTTTCATATCTTCTTATTATCTTCTTTTTAGTTCTATACCTTCTTATTATCTTCTTTTTTGTTCTATACCTTCTTTTATGTTTCATATCTTCTTATTATCTTCTTTTTAGTTCTAAACTTCTTTTATGTTAAATATTCAGATTCAAACTTTTTATATATATCGATATTTTTTACATTTAAATTTATTATCTCTCTATTAACCTTTTTTATTTATGCACATAAATATTTTTTTATATTTTTTACCCATGAAATCTTCTTTCATTATTTTAAACTCCCTTATTATTCTCATTCTCCTTACTTACTATTTCTCGCCAGTACTATCTATATATTCAATATTTACTACCACCACTAGTACACCTCTACTTCATTTAGTGCATGTATTTTTCATTTGTCTACTAATTTATTCTATAACTCAATATATTATAAAGTATTATTATGGTACAATAAGGACACAAGAGATGGCTGTTGTAAATGATAATATGCATCTATTTCTTACTGATATCCTTCTAGTTCTTACTGTATTTAATAAAGATATCAATTATAGAACTATTATTATATTTTTTATAATTTTATGTCTTAAAGCGATACAGTGGATTAATACCATAAGGGATGATAGTGTACAGTGTAATACATTACTATGTGGTATAAGTCTTTTATTAGCCTTATTATTCTTAGGAAAGATTAATATATTTTTTTTATTCTCCTTTGAGTTTTGTATAATAGCTTTATCAAGTATTAAGAATATATTATCTATTTATATAAAAGAAGATGAAGAGAATAAGCCTATCTATATGTTTATATTAGAGATATCATATCTTTTATTACTACTTATAATATATTCTATATTTATAATATTAACTAGTCTTAAATATAAAGTGCCATTGAATGTCTTTAGAGCTAGTGTAAGTATATTTGAAAGACTAGTGAAGAAATGTAGAGCTCTACATAGATTCTTAATCTTGTGTAAAGAAATAGATAGTATTCCTGATACAACAGAAGAAGGAGAGTGTATAATCTGCCAGGATGATAAACCTACTAAAAGATTAAGATGTGGACATGTCTTTCATAAGGACTGTCTTAAGCAGTGGTGTGAAAGACAGCCTTTTTGTCCTGTTTGTAAAGTAGATCTGTATATGAAAGAAGAAGTAATATATCGTGGTGATGAAGAGTTACGGGGTGTACCTGTAGAAATATTTGAATAAATATAACATATTTTTATATTATTTATTTTTATAAGGTCTTATAGTACAAATAGATAGAATATCCTAAGGCACCTAGTATTATTGTGTATATAATATGCATTTTCATAATGATAAAAAAAAACAAATTTTTTATAAATTAATTAGCCAATAAAAAATAATTGGTTAATTAAATATTTCGTTTTTTTTAATTTTTTTACCCCTAAATGTCATGTATCTTTTGTACTATTTACGAATCAAATAAGTCTAATATTCTCTATGAATCAGAAAATTCCTTTGTTATTGTAGACAGGTATCCAATGTCTAAAGGACATTTATTGGTAATTCCTAAAGTACATCGTTCATATTTGCACGAATATAAAAAAGAAGAACTTTCTGATGTATTAGATATTTACATAAAAATGGTAAATAAATATAATATTAAAAAGTATAATTTATTACAGAATAATGATAACTACCAGAGTGTATACCATGTACATTTTCATATTATTCCTTGTAATAGTGAATTAGAAAGATTAAAGATAGATTGGACTCATATTAAAATGGATGATAGTGAATTTAAGGAGTACTGTAAAAACAATTTTGAATAAATTTATTTATTTACATTTCGGTAATAGAAAATTTCTTTATTAAATACAAACTTTTTAAAAAGTTATTTTTATTCTTTAAAATATTAAGTATTTTGTGTTACACGATCCTGTTAGGTCTACTTGTACACTAATGTCTTATAATTGTATATATTTTATTTATGCACTAATTTTTAACCCCTCAATGAAAAAGATAATTTATATTTATGTCTTATAATTGTATATATTTTATTTATGCACTAATTTTTAACCCTTCAATGAAAAAGATACATTTTGTTAATGACATGACATTAGGAATATTAGATGAAGATCATACACTTATAAATCCCCTTAAACATATTTTATCTACTTATTACACAAGTAATATAGATTTCTGTGGATATACAATTCCACATCCAAGTGAAAATAAAGTGCATCTAGTGGTACAATTTATAAAAGAGGATGATCAGACAGTAGAAAATATAATAAGTAAAGTAGAGGAAGGTATAGAAGGATTTAAGAATATTATAAAGAAAATTGATGAGGAGTTTGATAAAAGTTTATCAAGGAAATAAATAGATAATAATTTAATAAAAGTAAATAAAATATATTGATAATAAAGTATAGAAATATTTTAAACGTCTTTTGATAAAATACGGTATAAATAACTTCTATAGGAATAAATTACTTGTTTATATAAATTTATTGTTTTTAGCTATATGTAAAATAAAAACAACATTTGTCTAAATTTAGATAATAGACAACCAAATATAGAATATACATGGGAATTTGTTACAAAAATATAAAAATGTATACAATAAACTATTATTTAATGACTTGTAAATTATACCTCTACTCGTTTCAAACCAGGTCATATAAATTAAATATTATCAACCTATATTCTATTTTTATGTAAATTTCTACATCCAAACTACATGTCAAAAATTTATCAACACTGGCGTCATAAATTATAAAAAATAA